GCCACAACGCCTGGCCATTTTTTGGTTGCAGCCATCATTGTTGTTTGGTGGGCCCGGGCTGGGGATTCGAACCCACCACCTTAGGTGTATGTGGCTGACGCCTTAGCCGCTTGAGCCAAGAAATATTTCTTAAAGTAATATTTTATTAGATAGAGTGAAAAGGACTCTCTTCTACAGTACAGAAACAACACATACTGGTATAATCTTCCAATAGAGCAAATAGACACAACAAAAATCTATGGGCAAAGTAATTCCAACCTATAGGAATTTATATTAAAATGTTCATACAAGTGTACTATATATGTACAAGACTACCCCACATAACATTATCTATAATAAAATAAACTAAAAACAACCCAAATACCCACCAACAGGGAGCTGGCTAAATTATGGTAACTGCATAAATACTATGTGGCAATTAAAAATAATGAGAAATCAATATAAAAAATGTCCTATATAGGACGGCACCTGTGCTCAAGGAGTAGGGCGCCGGCCCCATATACCAGAGTGGCAGCCCCAGCCAAAAAAAAAAAAAAAAAAGTCCAATATATATTGTTAGGTGATAATGGTTAAGTTGCCTTTATAAACATGTTGGGGTTTTTGTTTGTTTTTTTAAGACAGAGTCTCACTTTGTTGCCCCTGGTAGAGTGCCACAGCTTCACACCTCCCAGCAACCTCAAACTTTTGGGCTCAAGTGATTTTCTTGCCTCAGCTTCCCAAGGAGCTGGGACTATAGGCACCTGCTATGACGCCCCTATTTTTTTTTTTTTTTTGAGACAGAGTCCCACTAGGTCACCCTGGGTAGAGTGCCATGGCGTCATAGCTCACAGCAAACTCAAACTCTTGGGCTTAAGCAATTCTCTTGCCTCAGCCTCCCAAGTAGCTGGAACTACAGGTGCCCGCCACAATGCCCAGCTATTTTTTAGTTGCAGGTGTCATTGTTGTTTTAGCTGGCCTAGGCTGGGTTCGAACCCACCAACTTCGGCGTATGTGGCTGGAACCATAACCATTATGCTATGAGCGCCATTTTTTTTTTTTTTTTTTTGAGACAGGGACTCCCTCTAGCTCAGGCTGGTCTCTGAACTCATGAGCTCAGGCAATCCACCTACCTTGGCTTCCCAGAGTGCTGGGATTACAGGTGCAAGCCTGGCCACGCCTGGCCAAAACATTTTTTTTTTTTTTTGACACTGAGCCTCAAGCTATCCCCCTGGGTAGAGTACCGTGGCATCACAGCTCACAGCAACTGCTCAAGCGAGTCTCCCGCCTCCGAGGTCCAAGTACCTGGGACCACAGGCGCCTGCCACAATGCCTGGCTATTTTTTGGTTTGCAGCCATCATTGTTGTTTGGCGGGCCCGGGCTGGATTCAAACCCGCTACCTTAGGTGTACGTGGCTGGTGCCTTAGCCACTTGAACCACAGGTGCCGAGCCCAAAACATGATTTTTTAATAGAAAGCTAATGTACAGAAAAATGTCTGGAACATTAAATGGCAAATATTTATTAATAGTTACCTCTGAGTGAGATTACAGAGGAGCTTTCAATTTCTATGTTATACATTTCTAAACTGTTTTAACTTTTACCATGGGAACTTATTACCTTTGTAATAAGAAAAAAAAACATAAAACATGCATGAGGCTTAATGTAATAAGAAAAGAAAATAACATGAAAAATGCTGAGGCACCCATGCCACAGCAATGTCTAACATTGCTCTCAAATTTCAACTTAGATCCATCTCATCTAAACTTTAAAAATATATTTAAAGGTGATTTTTTTTTTTTTGAGACAGAGTCTCAAGCTGTCGCCCCCCTGGGTACAGTGCCGTGGCGTCATAGCTCACAGCAACCTCCAAAATCAGGCTCAAGCGATCCTCTTGCCTTAGTTTTTCTATTTTTAGTAGGACGGGGTCTCACTTTTGCTCAAGCTAGTTTCAAACTCATGAGCTCAAGCAATCCACCCACCTCAGCCTCCCAGAGTACTAGGATTACAGGTGTGAGCCACCGCGCCCAGCTTAAAAATGTGGCATTTTTGATCTGTTAATTCCAGAATGTGTTTATAATCAATCCTCTAAAAAGCATCAACAACTCCAAATTAAATTAATCGTTGGAATTTGGAAGAGGCCATGACATCCAAAAGAATATCTTCATACTGGATAATTACCAGAACATTCATTAACTTTACTAAAGGTGCTTTGGAGAATACACAGAGAAGTCTTTGTCCTTGCCAAGCTTAATTTGTATGAATTAAAATGTAATTTAATAGTTAAAATTAGGGAGAAATATGTATTAACCTATATGTATATATGCATAGCACTATATGTGCACTCAAAATTGATTTGAGATTTCACCCCAGATAAATCTTTATCATAATAAAAGGGAAGAATTACAGAAAATTTTCTTCTACAGTTATCTTTTTTTTTTTTTTGAGACAGAGTCTCATTATGTCGCCCTTGGTAGGTAGAGTCCCATGGCGTCACAGCTCACAGCAACCTCAAACTCTTGGGCACAAGCGATTCTATTGCCTCAGCCTCCCTAGTTGCTGGGATTACAGGCACCAGCCACAACACCTGACTATACAGTATTTTCCTAATATAAAAGGATTATACAGTGGCTCACGCCTATAATCCTAGCACTATGGGAGGCCGAGGCAGGTGGACTGCTTGTGCTCACAGGTTCGAGACCAGCCTGAGCCAGAGCGAGACCCCATCTTTAAAAGCAGCCAGCCATTGTGGCAGACACCTGCAGTCCCAGTTACTCAGGAGGGTGAGGCGAGAAAATCACTTGAGCCCCAGAAACTGAGGTTGCTGTAAGATATGATACCACAGCACTCTACCGGGAGCGACAAAATGAGACTCTCAAAAATAATAATAATAAAGAATTACAGAAAACCTTTGGAATTGGCAAAATAGCTATGAACTTCCTCTTCAAATTTCACTCTTTATCCACTAACTTCTACTCTGGTGTTATTAGACAGACTCATTTACATGCTAACATAATTAAATCTCTCCCTCAGTAAGAAGGGTATAGTAAGAGGTAGAAAATGGCCAGAAGTTTGGGGACTAAAAGCAAAAGAAAGCCAAGCTGACTGGACAATCACACAAAAATCAAGAATACTTAATTCACAAGTCCAAAAAGTTTATTATCCAGTTATTCCCAATACTAATTCTATCAATTTCATTACAGGAGCTATATCTATCTTCAGATTCTCTTGCTACAGGATGGGAGGGGAAAAAAAAGAGCTCAAAACCCACCTCCCTAAGGGGTATGTCTGAAACAAGTTTCCTCAGAAACAGAATTTTAAAAAACAATGAAATATTTAACTCACAAATCCATATGAAATATACACCAAGTTTATCCCTATTACCTCAGGATTTTATTAAACATATATAAGGGCCGGGTGCTGAAGCTCACACCAGTAATCCTAGCACTCTGGGAGGCCAAGGCAGTGGATTGCTTGAGTTTGAGACCTTGTCTCTACTGAAAACATAAAAACCAGCCAGGCATCATGGTGGGCACTTACAGTCTCAGCTACTCAGGAGGCTGAGGCAAGCGGATTGCTTGAGCCCAGGAGTTTGAGGTTACTGTGAGCTATGACACCAGGGCACTCTACCCAGGATGACAGCATGAGACTCTGTCTCAAAAAAAAAAAAAAAATACAGGTTTTCCTACACCTAGGATATCACTATACATTCACTTCCAAATCATTTACAATGTTAAATAAGGCCATTTCAGGTAGCAAAACTGAACTATCACTATTAACAATTCTATCCCCCCCAAAAATCCCTTTATCATTTTTCTTTTTCTAATCTTATAAGTCAACGTCCCTAGTCATTATTACAACATGTACCTTCTCCTTCAATAACTTTTTTTTTGACACAGTCTCATGCTGTCACCCTAAGTAGAGTGCTGTCATCATAGCTCACAGCAACCTCAGTCTCTTGGACACAAACGATCAATCCTCTTGCCTTAGCCTTCCAAGTAGGTGGGACCACAGGAGCCCATGACAACACTGGGCTAGTTTTTAGTAGAGATGAGGTCTTACTTTTGCTCAGGCTGGTCTCGAACTCCTAAGCTCAAGCAATACAGCTGCCTCAACCTCCCAGAGCACTAGGATTATAGGTATGAGGTGAGCCATCACACCCAGCCTCTCCTCCCCTCCAACTATTGATTGTAATTTTATCAAAGGCTTTGGAAAATCTGTATAACTTACATCCATTTCCAATGACCACATTATTTATTATTTACCACTTTGAAAGTTATTCTTAAATTAAGCATTATTTCCCCTTTAGTGCTACTCAGCCATCCCAACTTAAGGTGTTTCCAGGCTACTCAGAAAGCTAAGGCAGGATTAACTCTTGAGCCCAGGAGTTAGAGGCCGACCTTGAAGTAAGCTATGATTGCACCACTCACTGCACTCCAACCTGGGAGACAGGGAGAGACCCTGTCGCTTAAAATAATAATAAAAATAATAATAACATTACTTACATTTCGATGGAATTGTGTGAAGGACTGAATCATATAGAATCGATGCATGTATACTATAGCAGTGTTGATAGTCAATTGCGAGCTGAAATGTTCATGTTAAGGTCCAAAACCAAGCAAGCAGACAGTATTAATTTCCAAAAATATAACCTTTAACTCCTCCCAAAAAAGCCAGCACAGTAGATGCTACTGCATGAAATGATACTTAACCTCTGCCCCTCAAAGAGCACGTCTGTTTTCTTTCGCCGATTTATTAACCAATAAATGACATTTGGCACAATGCTTTACACATAACAGGTATTTAATATAAATTTACTTAATAAATAAACAAACTCAGGATTTGTGGATCAAGATGAACTATAAAAACAGATAAGGGCTCAGCGCCTGTGGCTCAAGCGGCTAAGGCGCCAACCACATACACCTGGAGCTGACAGGTTTGAATCCAGACGGGGGCTGCCAAATAACAATGATGGGTGCAACCGAAAAATAGCCGGGCGTTGTGGTGAGCGCCTGTAGTCTCAGCTACTTGGGAGGCAGAGGCAGGAGAATCGCTTGAGCCCAGGAGTTGGAGGTTGCTGTAAGCTGTGATGCCACAGTACTCTACCCAGGGTGACAGTTTGAGGCTCTGTCTCAAAAAAAAACCACATAAGATCCTAAACATTTCTCTGATTTGCCCTCTGAAAATCCTGCAGTGGTGATCCGTTAGCTCAGGGTATGTCTTACACAAGATTTACGAGGCCCTCCCTGATCTGGCCTCCAGGTTTCTAGGTACTATCCTTCCCTGCCTTCTAAACTCCAGGAATTAACTTTTCAGTTCCACTTCTCTCTGGTTACCAAGCCTTCGTATATGGTGATCCCTGGGGCCAGAAATAATTTGAAATGACAGAAAATGAAAAACTTTATATATATATAATTTTTTTTTTTTTGAGACAGAGTCTCACTATGTCGCCCTTGGTAGAGTGCCATGGCATCACAGCAACTTCCAACTCTTGGGCTTAAGCGATTCTCTTGCCTCAGCCTCCCAAGTAGCTGGGTCTACAGGTGCCCACCACAACCCCTGGCTATTTTTTGGTTGTAGTTGTCATTGTTGTTTGGCAGGCCTGGGCTGGATTCCAACCCACCACTCCATTGTATGTGGCTGGCGCCATAACCACTGTGCTACAGACACTGAGCCTTTTTGTTACTGTCGTTGTTTAGCAGGCCCCGGCTAGGTGCCAACCTGCCAGGCCCGCTGCATGTGGCCAGTGCCCTAACCACTCAACTACATGTGATGAGCCCATGAAAAACGTTTAATGTCTTAATTTTAAAGATCTCGGCTGACAATATGGGATATATAAATGATGTAGTCCCATGATGGCAACCTTAATAGCAACACACAAACAAATGCAAAGCATTTTAAGGATACACTCAATTTCACAAACAAGTTTAACTAACTGCATTTTTAAGAAACAAACTGGATATCAACAGAAAACAAAATGACAATACATTACAGTCAACAACACATTTAAATGGAAGCTGCACCCAAGCAAAAGTTTTCATGCACAGAGTGAAAAAACTAAAATTATATTCCTTTTCTCCACCACAAAATGAATGTATTTTCTGACAAAGAAAGATACTTGGGGGAGGGAATCACCAAGTTCGCTCATCTGCGAAATATGAAGAAAATGAATATACACCAGCACTCTAAGTAACTTAAGAACCCAGTATTTTATAAAAGCCCCGTCAAACATCCCTACAAACCTAAACTGACATCATTCCTTCTCTGAAATTCTCTAATATCTCAACAGCAGCTTCTATTTGTACGTCTGAATGCCAAGCATTGTGGTAGCAACAGAATCAAATGCCAGAGGTATCATCCCGTTTTACAGACGAGAAGACCAAGAATTTGACAGCTAATAAGCAAGCGGAACGGATTTTGAATCAAGGCTGGGGCATTAATTCTAGGCCACCCTTTTTAAGACCTTTAGGTATGGAATTTCCCGAAACTCCCTTTACACACTAAGTTTATTAGCCAGCCGTCAACAGTGAACCTTCTACCAGACCCCTAAAGCACCGCGGAAAAGAATCTTAAAGTCACCAGAGTAGGTCAGAGAGGCAGTGAAGAGGAACTAGAAAGAGCTAGTTAAAACACAAAGCCGAGAAGGATACGAACTCCCAACAAGGTTGGTGGCACGGGCGGGCGGGCGAGCGAGCGAGGGAGGGAGGGAGCGGGAAATTAACTCCGCCTCGCTGCCACCGCGCGAACAGTGTTTTAGCCCGCCCCACCGTGGGCTCTCCCGCCTAGACATCCAACTCCTGCCCACCTTCTTCCCCCTTTCTTCCCCCACCAGAGCCTGAGGCCTGTACCCAGAGCATGGCGGGACCGATTTGAAGGCCCAAAGTCTAGGCCGCAAGGATACACGTAAAGACGTTGTCCCATGTCCTGGAGCAGATTGGCCGCCTGCTGGCGATAAGAAAGTTCTTTATCCGGGTCCACGCCAAAACGACGGGACGGGCTATTTTCCAGCTGTTCTCGAGTAAAATACCACCGTTTATTGTTGTTCTTCCTCTCTCCCTCCATAGTGCTTCAACCAGAAGGCAGCGACGGAGGCTGCAAGCACTTCCCAGCGTCACCTAAGCGGCGACACACATCCGCTGAACGGAGGCAAGTGCGACGTGACGAACTTCCGCTAAGAGTCGACCGCCAGATTGTGACACGCTTCCGTCGAGGAAGCGAAAGTCAAAGGGCTTACTTCCGCAATAGACCTCGCGATATCTTGTAGGCGAGTTACCAGCTACTCGAGTGTGACCAGGAAGGACCTTGAGGCGGGGTGGGGGGGGGGAAACGCAGGCGCGTCACGTGACACCTTGGGAGGTACGGGCGGGGTTAGGCGTTTACGTTTAAAATCACGTCTTTTCCCGCGAGAACTGGCCTGAGCTCGTGGGCGGTGAAACGTGCTACGTAAAGTGGAGCAGGTGTAGACCTTGATCTTGACAGAGAAAATAGGTAGGACTGTCAGAAACTGGAAAAAAATAAAAATCAAAGAAAGTAGCCCTATCATATATCAAAATTTAAAGCAGCTAGGATCTTCCGACGTTATTGGTAAAAACGTGAAGTGCTGCAACCCGTTTGAAGAGTCGCTTCACAATACGTAGCCGAAGTCATGAAAACATCCCTGGGATTCGCCACAGTGATGCAATTTAAAGGAATAAAACGGAATTGATAGAAGCAATTTAGAAGAGCGTACATGTCCCAGGGGCAATACTGATTCCTAAATATACGATTAAATTTAATCTGCACGATTCCAGAGGTAATTTTTTTTTCTTTTTGAGACAGAGTCTAAGTATGTCGCCCTCGGTAATGTTGTGGCGTCACAGCTCAAAGCAACCTCAAAATCTTGGGCTTAAGCAATTCTCTTGCCTCAGCCTCCCGAGTAGCCGGGACTACAGGTGCCTGCCTCAACGCCCGGCTATGTTTAGCTGGCTCGGGCCGGGTTCAAACCCGCCACCCTCGGTGTATGTGACTGGCGTAGTAACCACTGTGCTACGGGCGCCGACCCATAGAGGTAATAATATTTTAATCCCCGTTTGGCAATCGGTGAACTAAGGTTGTCTCTAAGATGTAGAAACCTTCCACCACCGCCCTTCATCATGCAGACATTTGTAAATTCCTGCCGCCTGTCAAGATGTGTTCCAGCCCCAACGTCTGACACCTGTTTGGTCTTGGGAAAGATAATTACTTATCCGTGCCACTTAGATAAAATGTAGATAATGCCTATATTTTGGGTTGTGAGAAGGAGTGAATGTTTAATGAGTTACAAGCATTTATAATAGTTATTTGGTACTTAGAAAATACCAAGTAGATCTTGTTGTTATAGTATTTGTTACATTGTATTGAAATTGCGGGGGGGGGATGATATATTTTTGTATCTCTTGCGCCTACCTATTACAGCCTTGGCCCTAGTAAATAGTCAATAAATCTCAAACAAAAGCTCAGAACACCCTACAATACAGAAATTGAGGCGCAGAGATCAGGTAGTTTGCTCTATACTACACTGCTAATAATGCTAAGAAGTGTAGCTCCTGGATTCAAGCCATCCTCCTGCCTCAGCCTCCCCAGTAATTGGGACTACAGGCCTCAGCCACAGTACTCAGCTAAATTTTTTTCTATTTGTAGTAGCAATGGAGTCTGGCTCTTGCTCAAGCTGGACTTGAACTCCTGAGCTCAAGAAATCCTCCCTCCTGCCTTAGCCTCCTAAGAGTGCTAGGATTACAGGCATGAACCACTGCACCCAACCTCAATGTACTCTTTAGAAAAACGTTTGGAGTGATTTGTTATAGACAATTCTTTATTTAGTCTTGATTGCAGTGAGGTATGTTAGCACTACAGCACTTCACCTTGGGCAGCAGAGCAAGACACTGTCTCAATATGAAGAAAAGACTTCCTAAGGAAATTCAAAGATCACAAAGATGACAAAAACAAGAACATCTAGTGCCAGGCTAGATGACTCACACCTGGAATCCTAGCACTCTGAGAGGCCAATTTGAGTGGGTTACCTGAGCTCAGGAGTTCAAGACCAGCCTGAGCAAGAGCAAGACCCTAGTTCTACTAAAAACAGAAGAAAAAAAAATTAGCCAAGTGTTACAGTAGGAGCTTGTAGTCTCACCTATTTGGGAGGCTGAAGCAAGAGGATAACTTGAGCCCAAGAGCTTGAGGTTACTTTGAGCTGCAACCCAACAGCACTCTACCCAGGGTAACAGAGTGAGCTCTGTCTCAAAAAAGAAAAACACCAAGGACAGCTAAAGGAATTGGAGCCTCTAATACCTATAGCTATAACAAAAGTAAACACAGCTTGACTCCTCGCCATAAAAACATAAAACTTGGCTTTTACCTAATACATCATATTTAATTTTTTTTTTTTGAGACACAGTCTCACTCTAGTACCCTGAGTAGAGTGCTTTGGAGACATAGCTCACAGCAACCTCAAGCTCTTGGGCTCAAGCAATCATCTTGCCTCAGTTTTTCTATTTTTAGTAGAGACAGGGTCTTCCTCTTGCTCAGTCTGGTCTCAAACTGCTGACCTTAAGCAATCCACCCACCTCGGCCTCCTAGAGTGCTAGGGTTACAGGCACAAGCCACCATGCCCAACCATCATCATACCTAACTTTTGACAAAAATGTTGCAAGGCATAGTACATGGTGAAAAATACAATCTGAAGAGACAAAGTGATCACCAGAACCATACTCACATAAGGCAGAGATTTGGGGATTATCAGACTGAGAATTATTTATTTATTTATTTATTGAGACAGAGCCTCTAACTGTCACCCTGGGTAGAGTGCTGTGGCATCACAGCTCACAGCAACCTCCAACTCCTGGGCTCAAGCGATTCTCCTGCCTCAGCCTCCCAAGTAGCTGGGACTACAGGCGCCTGCCACAACGCCCGGTTTGGTTGCAGCAGCCATCGTTGTTTGACGGGCCCGGGCTGGATTCGAACCCACCACCTTAGGTGTATGTGGCTGGTGCCTTAGCCACTTGAGCCACAGGGTCTGAGCCCAGACTAAGAATTTAAATTAACTATTATATTTGCCTCTTTGCCTGCTTGCCCTGGCAATAGAGGCCCATTCACTGTCTATGGAAAATGTATCCTGCTTGGTGAACTTTCTTACTCTAAGCATTTTTCTTCCTCAATGAAGAAAGTTTCATTCTTGCCTTAAAAAGTTTTGGGTTTTTTTTTTTTTTTTTTTTTTTTTTTTGGTGGTGGTACTCATGGCTCAGTCGGCAAGGGCGCCAATCAGATACACTTAGGGTGGTGTGTTCAAACCCAGCCTGGATCTGGGGCAGAAATGACAACTGCAACAAAAAAAAATAGCCAGGCATTGTGGCAGGGGCCTGTAGTCCCAGCTACTTGGAAGACTGAAGCAAGAGAATCACTTAAGCCCAAGAGTTGAAGGTTGCTGTGAGCTATGATGCTACGGCACTCTACCCAGGGCAACATAGTGAGACTGTCTCAAGAAAATAAATAAATAAAAAATAAAAACAGGTGTTTTTTTTTAATGAAGTAACTGTGATTAATATGTTGAAGACTTGTTTTTTTTCCTTTCTTTTTTGAGACAAAAATCTCAGCCTGGGTAGAGTGCCCAGGGATCAGCCTAAGTCAACCTCAAACTCCTGAGTTCAAGCAGTCATTGTACCTCAGAATACAGAGTAGCAGGGACTACAGGTGCCTGCCACAACACTCAGCTAATTTTTCTATTTTTAGTGGAGACAGAATTTGGCTCTTGCTGAGCTGGTCCTGAGTTCGCCTCATCCTCTCAGAGTGCTAGGATTACAGGCATGAGCCACCTTGCCCACCATGCTCACCCTTATGTTAAGAGCTCTTGATGAAAAAAGTGGACAACATTCAGAAACACAGGGTAATGTAAGCAGAGAGATGAAGACTCTATGAAAGAATTAAAAGAAATGCCAGAAATCAAAAACACTGTTAACAGAAATGAAGAATGCTTTTGGTGCACTCAGTAGTAAACTGGACATGACTAAGGAAAGAATCAGTGAGCTTAAAAATGTGTCAATAGCCAGGCACTGCACCTCACACCTGTAATCCTAGCACTCTGAGAGGCCAAAGCAGGTAAATTGCTTGAGCTTCAGGAGTTCAAGACCAGCCTGAGCAAAAGCCAGACCTCCATCTCTAAAAATAGCCTTGTGTTGTGGTGGGCACCTGCAGTCCCAGTTACTTGGGAAGCTGTGACAGTAGGATCACTTGAGCCCTAGAGTTTGAGGTTGCTGGCACTTTACCGAGGGTGACAAAGTGAGACTCTGTCTCAAGAAAAAAAAATGTCAATAGAAAATTCCCAAACTGGGTGGCGTGAGCATGGGGAAGCAAAAGAAAGCAAGGAAGTATGCAACCATGAAGCGAATGCTTAGTCTCAGGGATCAGAGTCTTAAAGAAAAGGACAGATTGAAACCTAAAAAGAAAGAAAAGACAGATCCCAGCACATTAAAGGAAAGAGAAGTCCTCCAGCACCCTTCCTGCTTATTCTTCCAGTATAATACACAACTGGACCAACTTTATCAACTTTTCCATTAAAGCCAAACTGGACTTAGTGCAGGCAATGATGGACTGTCTGTATGCCATGTGCATTCCTTGTATAACTGACTGTGTAATGGCTGAAATTGAGAAATTGGGGCAGAAGTATCGAGTGGCCCTCAGGATCGCCAAGGATCCAAGATTTGAACGATTACCATGCACACACAAAGGAACCTATGCAAATGACTGCTTAGTACAGAGAGTAACTCAGCCCAAGTGTTACATGGTGGCTACAGTTGACCTAGATCTTAAAGGAAGAATCCAGAAAATCCCTGGAGTTCCTATCATGTATATTTCTAACCATAGATACAATATTGAACGGATGCCAGATGATTATGGAGCCCCTTGGTTCTAATTCTTATAAGACGATGTTCGTATGCCTTTCTTCGACCAACTTTCTCTGTTAACAGTTTGTTAAACATGAAATACCATGAATTATTACTCTCTTCACCAGCTTGCTTTATTATGACCTGGAGGATGTAGGTAAATACACTCATGTTTGGATGCTATTTTGAAAATGATATTTTATCTCATTGATGGTCAAAGATGCAAAATCCTATGAAGAATGCTTCATTCTTTTTTGAGTTCTGTTGCACAATGTGGTAATTATAGTTAATATTGGAGTAAATTTCAAATGTTCTTAACCACAAAAATGTTAAGTATTTGAGGTGATGGATATATTGACTAGTTTGATTCAATTATTCCAAATTGTATTCGTAGATTATAACATCACTGTGTACTCCATAAGTTTATACAACTATAAATTGTTGGTTTACAATAAAAATAAAATTGCATCTTTTTGTAAAAAAAAAAAAAAAAGAAAGAAAGAAAGAAAAAAGAAAAGAAAAGAAAATTCCCAAACTGAAAATCAAAAAGAATGAAAAAAAATTAGGTGAAATATCCAGGTGCAATGAAATAAACTCATGAGCATAGATTAATAGTAAAATGTAGCAAAATAATTAGGAAGAGATGAGTTTCTAGTATTTAATACCTTTATTTTTAATATAAATTAAAAGTTTAGATAACTTAATTTTTTTGAGACAGAGTCTCAAGCTGTCACCCTGGTAGAGTGTTGTGGCATCACAGCTCACAGCAACCTCCAACTCTTGGGCTTAAGCAATTCTCTTGCGTCAGCCTCCAAAGTAGCTGGGACTATTAGGCACCCACCACAACCCCCAGCTATTTTTTTGGTTGTAGTTGTCATTGTTTGGCAGGCCCAGGCTGGATTTGAACCTGCCAGCTCCAGCCTATGTGGCTGGCACTTTAGCCACTGAGCTATAGGCACTGAGTTGATAACTTAATTTTTAATAATGGTCTGGTCTAACACCAGCTCACAAAATTAATGAATATTTAACAAGCCCTCTAAAGTTAGTAGGGACTGGCATACCACTGCTGAAATAACTTAAAGATTCACTGAAAGTAACCCCTTTTTTTTTTTAAATAGAGATAGGGTCTCCAGGCCAGAATACAGCGGCATGATTGTAGCTCGATATAATCTCAAACACCTCCCAAAGTGCTGGGACTACAGGTGTGAGCCACTGCACCTGGCCCTTTACAGATTTAAACAATTTATTAAGTTTCCATTATATCAGCAGTTCTCAACCTGTGGGTCATGACCCACAGGAACTGTATTAAAGGGTTGCAGCATTAGGAAGGTTGAGAACCACTGCATTATATTGTTTCTTGGCCTTTTGGCTAAGATCACATGTAGTATTAATGTTCCATTATAAATTGAACACTGTGCTAAGGAAATTTGCATATATTATCTCATTTAATTCTCATAACTATGAGATAGATATAATCATTGCCATTTTTTAAAATAAACAATTAAAAACTGAGGTTTAGGGTGGCACCCGTGACTCAGTGGGTAGGGCGCCGGCCCCATATACCGAGGGTGGCAGGTTCAAACCCAGCCCCAGCCAAACTGCAGCAACAAGAACAAAAAAATAGCTAGGTGTTTTGGCGGGCACCTTACTCGGGAGGCTGAGGCAAGAGAATCGCCTAAGCCCAGGAGTTGGAAGTTGCTGTGAGCTGTGTGATGCCATGGCACTCTACCGAGCGTGATAAAGTGAAACTGTCTTATTTAAAAAAGAAAAACCCACTGAGGTTTAGTTATTCTGTTCAAATTCAGATACCGACTGTGTGGCAAAACTAAGATTTGAGCCCAGGTTAGTGTTGTTCTCACTCACTGCCTTCTGAAGTTTACAGTATAATACTGGGTCAAGAAAAGAGGTACTAGCAATTGATGCCTGCATTCTCCTGAAGTAATTTAACCCTTTCCCACTCCAGCTCCACTGTGAACCCATAAATCCTATGGCTCATTAAAAGCAGTGTCAGTCAATGGTATTTATTCAGGGCATTACCATGGTTACCAAACACAAAGTCCAGTTCTTCAGCCTGAATGTTCCGGAAGAGGCCAAGGAAGAGCTGAGATGGCCTTCTTCAACTTATATCTGTTGGGATATCAGAATTCTTTTCGGAACAAGAAAAGGGACACAACTGAAGAAACAAGTAAGAGGAATATTGAGTAGACTATTACAAGGGCCACATCTTAGGCACTTCCTAGCCATTAGTTTTCCATCATATGTGAAGGAAATTCAATGTAGGTAGGTGCTGAAGCAAAAGTTATATGGGGTAGGGAAAGAGGTGACTGGGAAAGAATGAAAGCACAAAGTTACAATTGTGAAGGACAATCTTATGTAGGCCTCCATAGGACGCTCTCTGTATTGTTTGTAACTCCATCAAGGGAGTTCTGTTTGGGCCCGGTGCAGTGGCTCATACCTGTAATCCTAGCACTCTGAGAGGTTGAAACGGGAGAATCCCTTGAGCTCAGGAGTTTGAGACCGGCCTGAGCAAGAGCAAGACTGTCTCTACTAAAAAAATAGAAAAATCAGCCAGGCATTATGGCCGGGAACCTATAGTCCCAGCTACTCAGGAGGCTGAGGCAGGAAGATCTCTTGAAGCCAAGAGTTGGAGGTTGCAGTGAGCTATGATGACACCACTGTACTCTAGCTTAAGGCAACAATGAGACTATCTTAAAAATAATAATAATATGGCTCAGTATGTAGCACAGTGGTTATAGTACCAGCCACATACACTAAAACTGGCAGGTTCAAACCTGGCCTGAGCCAGCCAAACAACTATGACAACTTCAACAAAAAGTAGCCTGGCGTCATGGGGGCACCTGTAGTCCCAGCTACTTGGGAGGCTGAGCAAGAGAATCCCTTGAGCCCAGGAGTTTGAGGTTGCTGTGAGCTGTGACATCACAGCACTCTACCAAGGGCAACATAGTGAGACTGTCTCAAAAATAATAGTAATCATAATCATAATAAAGTTCCATTTTACTCTCAAGCTTCTAGGTGAGATTTGTACAAAGGGCCCCCAGTGGACCCTAGAAACCCCTTAATACCCCTATACCAACCGTCCCTTGCCCCACCACAGCTGGGTCCCAGCATTATGCCATGAGGCTGTTCTTGTAAGGAGCTCTTCTCTGCCCTCTCTCAGAAAAACATACCCTTCAAAAAACCTACAAATTTCATTTGTCCTAGGCCAAGAGAAAGTCTCTCCTGGCTATTCCACTCCTACCTGCACCTACTAGATGGGACTCCCTCACAATGAAGAAACTGAGCAACCAGCCTGGGGTTTTCCTACTCAGTCGGCTACTTAAACACTGCTGAACAAGACTTGGTGCCCATCCTAAGAGACTTAGGTCTCAAATCTTTGCAGCCTAGGCAGAGAGGAAGACTTTACTTGCTAAAGAGGATCTCCACGTGCTAATTTCTAAGTAAATCCTTATAGTCTAGAGTCCGCTATGGGATGATACATAGGGAACCATCCTGATGTCACCTGCTTATCCAATTCTTATTCTGGTGGCAGAGCATCAGAGGCAAGAGGCTTGGCCAAACTGGTGGCCAAGAATGTAAAAGTAGAGGGAAGGCTGGACCTCAGATTTGCCACTCCTACTCCCTACTACCTTCCCCTCACCCCTAATTTTATACCCTCCAATTACTCTGTCAAGATATGAACTGAGGATTTTGCTTGATAACTAGGTAATCCTTGGTTTTGTGGCTCTGGCACTTAATAATAAACAACTATTTACTATGCATTTTGTGCCAGGCACTATACTAAACATTCTGTGTTCTTAATTTCATGTTAATACTAAGATTCCTGTGAGGTAGGTATTACTATTCCCTTTTAACTGAAAAAAAAATTGAGCCTCAAAGACCCTATTTATTTACCCAGAGTCACAGCAATAGAGCCATAATTTGATTCCAAATTGTCTAACATCACTGCCTATACTCTTAAACATCTCATGATTTATGGGGACAAATGATGCCTGTCTCTTCCTGGGAGTAGGCTACTGTACAAAGGATTGATGTCAGGCTTTCTAGAGGAATCATATTAACCTGCAAAACCTGAGTTCAGATGTCAGGTGGACTTTCATTTAGAATTCCCTGTTCCCCAAGTGATTCTCAAGATTGCCAGGAGCCCACCCCTGGAGTTAGTGGCCAAAATAGTTAACTTGAGAATTGCCATGTAGAGTTAAACTTTGTACCCTGTTGCCATATGCCTTGGGCAACTTCATAAGAGAGTTATAATATTCTACAATTTCAGAAAATGTTCTTCATAGGGAAAGAGTAACTGGATGAGTTATTTCTGATCTCTCATCTCTCTCATTTTCTCTTTCTCTCTCTCACACACACATATATAAGAATCATAATTATTTAGTCCAACTACTGTATACAAATAACAAAACAATAATTTGATTTGTTTCCAGGGCTTAAAACTGAAACTTTGCTGAAGTTATTGGTGAAAATTCAATGTTAGGGGTTTTTCCCAACCAATTTTTTTTTTTTTTTTTTTTTTTTGAGACAGGCTCTCACTCATTTGCCCTGGATAGAGTGCAATGGAGTCATGATAGCGCACAGCAACTTGAGCAATCCTCTTGCCTCAGTCTCCCAAGTAGCTGGGACTACAGGTGTGCACCACAACGCCCAGCTAGTTTTTCTATTTTTTAGTAGAGATGGAGCAGGGGATGGTGGACTCATTCATGTTCAGGCTGGTCTCAAACTCCTGCGCTCAAGTAATCCACCTGCCTCAGCCATCCAGAGTGGATTACAGGCATGAGTCACCATGTCCCGCCTAACCAATTCTTATTCATAAAAAAAAAAAAAAATGGTAATTTCACTTCTGTGACAAGAATTTAATGAAATAACCATTTGACATGGCAACCGGTTACCACTGCTCCCATCCTTCCAGGAGACATCTTGAACTAAATGTGACCCACCTGGTTCAGCACCCATAGCTCAGTGGTTAGGGTACAGCCATAAGCACCGGGGCTGGTGGGTTCAAACCTGGCTCAGGCCTGCTAAACAACAATGACAACAACAACAAAAATAACCAGGCGTTTTGGTGGGCACCTGTAGTCCCAGCTACTAGGGAGGCATAAGTAAGAGAATCACTTAAGCCCAAGAGTTGGAGGTTGCTGTGAGCTGTGATACCATGGCACTCTACCCAGGGCGACAGCTTGAGGCTCTGTCTCAAAAACTAAAAAAATTAAATAAATAAATAAATGTGACCCACCTGACTCTGGGATGTGGCTCACCTAAAATTAACACCCCTAAACTAACAACCAACTACAGATCCCTGATTTAAACCTGTCGCTAGGCATCAAGCTAGCAGATTTGGATCAATTAATGAGAACTATAGGATGAAAGTTGAATGTAAAATTACATTAGAGTATCTCTTATTATAAACTACTTGTTGGCCAGTTAATTTTTTTTTTTTTATGAGACAGAGCCTCAAGCTGTCACCCTGGGTAGAATGCTGTGGCATCACAGCTCATAGCAACCTCCAACTCCTGGACTCAAGCAATTTTCCTACCTCTGCCTCCCAAGTAGCTGAGACTACAGGCGCCCACCACAATGCCCGGCTATTTTTTGGTTGTAGTTGTCATTGTTGGCAGGCCCAGGCTGGATTCGAACCCTCCAGCTCAGGTGTATGTGGCTGCACCTTAGCCACTTGAGCCACAGGCCCCGAGCCTGGCCAGTTAATTTTTTAAGAAAGTTAAATTTGGGGGTGACACCTGTGGCTCAAAGGAGTAGGGGGCCAGCACCATATGCTGGAGGTGGCGGGTTCAAGCCCAACCCCGGCCTAAAACTGCCAAAAAAAAAAAAAAAAA